CATGACATGCCTTCTCCCTGCTCGGCTCGGTCCAAGTGTGCACGGGACACATGATGACATGCATGATAATATCCCAGAAAAGTGGTTTACTAGTTTAACTGGTCCTTTATGAAAGGCCTAGTGAAACTAGGCCTTGGAAGCCCTGGGTACTAATAAACTATTACAGGCATTTGAAGGAGAAGCAATGACGATAAATAAGTTCTTTGGTATTAATTATGGAGATGCTAAATTAGAACCATTTGATTTTACAGAATTTGATGTAATAGTATTTGATGAAATCTATTTTAGTAATTTAAATATATACTGGAGAATAAAACAATTTGTAGAACAGAATAAGCGCAACAAAATTATAATAGCAACAGGAGACACCAAGCAATTAAAACCAGTGCAAGAAATAACAAATACTCAAGACTATGAATTATACACTGACAATATTATAGATAATATTTTTACACATAATATAATATTGAAAGAATGTAAGAGACTTAACACACAGGAAGATAAGGATAAACTCAAGAATATAAAATATGATATTTTTATTAATAAATTACCAATTAAAACTATTATTGAAAAATATTTTGAATACACCACAGACATAAGTAGTTCCAAAAACAACATAGCATTTTTGAATACAACTTGTAAAAATGTATCAAATGAAATTAGAAAGTTAGAAAATAGAAAGGATGAATATGAAGTAGGGGAATTTTTAATTTGTAGAGAATATACTAAAACTAAAACATCAGTTTTTAATGTAAATTTCAAATATAAAATAGTTCATATTGGAAGTAATGGAATATTTACATTAAAAAATGTAAAAACCGAAATTTTACAATCCGTAGAAGTTGCTAAAATAAGAAGCAATTTTATATTTTCTTCTTGCTCTACATGTCATTCTACTCAAGGTAGTAGCATTGATGACACCATAACAATTTTTGATTATAATCATTTTTTGGTAAAGAATTTTCCAGAATGGATTTTTACAGCGGTAACACGTGCTCGTGATTTAAACAAAGTCAAATTTTATAAATATACAAAGGATGTTGATGATGTATTTAATCAAAAATGTATTATGAGTTATTTTGAAAGGAAAATATTGAATTATAAGGAACAAGACAGGAAAGCAAAAAGAAGCATACCTAGAGAAGGTTATGTAAATACTCAATGGTTTCTAGATAATATAAATAATCAATGTAATTACTGCGGATGTGGTTTTACTATTGATATGAAAAGTGGTAATATCATTACAAATCTAACAGCACAACGAAAAGATAATGAATTAACTCATACAATAGAAAATATCATCCCATTTTGTAAATTATGTAATTGTAGTTGTAAATGATGATAATTTTTAATTTAATTATGATAATATAATTATAATTTTAATTTGTTAATTTAATTTTAATTTAAAACTAAAATTCCTGTAAAAAGTATTTAAAGAAATATTTTATAATACTATTATATAGTTTGATGAGTGATACAGTCCACGATGCTAAAAATATATTGAAAAAAAGTTTATGAGTTATAAATGCAAAGACTGTGAAATGCTAAAATTACCAATTGAACGCGGTTTTACAAATGGCGTTTGTAATAATATTTGTCAATACATGATATGCAATAATTGCAATAGAATTATAAACAAAATTGATGATATGAATAACAAAGATATTGATATTATAAATAATGAAACTCTTGATGATGATTTAGAAATATTTGTGTTTATTGTAATGAATAATTTCTTAACTATAGAAGGGTTTGATAATTTACTAACTGAGTGTGATGACGAAGGATATAATAATGATTTTAGTTTTAAGTATTATAGTATGGTAAAAAATTATATAACGGTTCTTTTAATATTAAACGTTTAAAATATGTTATATTGTTTGATTTTTTAAATGAGTTTTTAAATGATGAGTATAAAACTCACGAACTTAGATATACAATAACACGTGCAATTGGAATAATGGGAATGTTTAGAAAACAAATAGGAAGTAATATTTATAATGAAACAACGTGTGATAAAATAATAGAAAGAATTAAGGAAGAATGGTGCCCGTAAAAAACGAATGAACCAGACCTTGCCCATAATATGTCTACAAAAGTTGTGATAAAATTTATTGTAAAATAATTTATCATAATTTTTGGAATAACATTTTTTTTGAAAATTTATTTTTTTATTTTTTTGTAAAATTTATTTTTATTTTTTGTAAAATTTATTTTTATTTTATTTTTTAAATTTTTTATGTTTTTTAAAATTTTGTAAAATTTGTGTTTTTACAAATTTTGTAAAATTTATTTTTTAAAATTTATTTTTTAACAATTTTGTAAAATTTATTTTTTAAAAATGTTTGTAAACTTTATTTTTTAAAAAAGTATATTTTAAAATATGGATGAACTTACTAGGAAATTACCTGCTTTAAAATGTTGATTTTTGAAAATGTGCTTTTTGAGGTGCTGTTTTAAAATGTTGCTAAAAGTGTGGGGGGGGGCCCAGGATTTTTTATAGAAAAAAGATGGGCAAGGTCTAGTCTAACTCCAAGACCATAAGTTCATGAGAGTACAAATTTTGACATAATTCGGACAGTTATCAGTTGGTTTGACACGGACAATCATGATATGGGCAGAAGCCTTGAGCCTTCAGGAAGGACCTTAAATTCCAGCATCGCCGCTTCCTTGACGACCATCTCCTTTCCATTTGGACTCTCAGCTCTGGCCTGAAGAGACGAAGTCCAGGTTCGTGAGCACCGCTGCCGAGTCAAGCGCCGCTGCCTGTCCTTCCTTCAACTTGTCCTTCTCCAGCGCCTTGTAAGTAGCCCGCCTCTGATTCTCTGCCAAGCGCCACAATCTTGATGTTCGAGCTGGTGCCTCCAAGCCTCTTCCTTGGTTGACATAACAATCAATGCTGAACAAAGCAATCAGACAAGACGCCGCATTTCCAACTTCAGCAACTTGGACTGCTCGCGAAGCTGTCGCTTCAGATCCGTGCGACGACACTTCATCTCCTCCACATTCATTGCAGTGGGCGAGGCTGAAGCTGAGGCACGACTGAAATGGCTGTCCGAGCGCTTGCTGTTGCTAACTGCACCTGCACTTAGTGGTCACCGCTTCCGGCAGCCTACAACAACGCCTTGCCTGAACAGTCACTCCGCACAAAAACCTTTTCGCGCCATAGCTTTGCCACGCCCTGGCAGCCGCTTGACGTGCGACAATATGACCGGGCTGGCGCTGTCCACTGACGCACACTGCGGCACTCCGCCGAAGCCAGTGAAACTCATAGTGGGACTGGGCGACCAGGACCCGCCTTTTTCTGCTCTGCAGCACTGATTTAGGGGATGGATTGCGACCCCCTTGGACACGTCTCTGGCATGTTCATTCATAGTACTACGGAGCCATGACAATAGGCGCACAGCAGCAAGAAAATAACACATCTTCTCCTCAGCCGGCCACTCTGAGTACTGCCGTTCTGCCGTGAGGCTAGTTTTCTAGGCAAGCACCTTGCCGCTAGCCAAATGACGCCATTGTCGAGATCTGGGCTCACTGCCGATTTGTCCGGCACACGGCTCACATTATCCTCTCAGTCCTTGACTCTGACTGCATCAGCCGCTTCAAAGCATCATCCGCGTTGCCTGCTCATCAACTTTGCGCTCTTACATCATTCTTCCCCTGCTCCTCTTTCTGTTGTGGGCACAAGCTTTGCACGGCCATTGAAATTGTGCCCATGTGAGCTTCTTACTTTTACCCGGTACATTTACCATTTACGTGCGTGTGTGCGGGCTGCAGTCGCGGAAGTCAACAACAAAGCTCATGCGGTTGATGACTGATTTCTTTACTGCAACGATGGTTCACCGATTTCGCCCCAGTTTAGCCTCGAACCGCGCGTTCGAGTCACCAGTCATTTGCCACAAATGCTATCCATTCCGACTTCCCAAAGCTGTAATTTGGTGACAACCATTACAATTCGCAGCTGCTTCCTCCGCGCAGTCAATTTCACCTCCAGGCCACCGCTTTCCTTTGTTCGTCCCACCATTATTTCCTGTTAAAATTATCATCTTTCTCCAACCAGCCTTCTGGTTCCGCAAAGGTCTTGGCCAAATGAGCAGCACCAAAAACCCTTATGAAAGGAGTCAAATGAGGGCCTCTCCTAATGAAGCCTCGCAAAAGCTAAAACGCAGGGTGGCAGGGCGCGAAAGCCCGCGAAAGCTTGCGGCAGTGGTTGTGTGTGTGTGGGACAGCTTGGGTACACTCAGCCAATTCCAACCAGGACAAACCTGGGGTTCACGGCTGGGACCCTGCTCAGCGCAAGCACGCGTGCGCGTCATGGCAGCGCTTCCCAACTTGGAGCCCTACGAGCTAGTCCGTGCAGCTTGCAGAGGGGGCAACCTTGAGCATCTCAAGGTTCTGTCCCGCACGCACACGCACCGGCAGCAAATGAGGGAGGCCTCCTCCACCAACCGCACAGGCAGCGGTCCCCCCTGTCGCAGTTTCTGCGTTGCCTGCGAAAGCCGCGAAAGTGATCATGACAAAACGCATGCCCGCGAAAGTGAAACGTGTGGCCGCGAAAGCATCGCGAAAGGTTCGGCTTGTTCGTAGAGGGCTTTATGTGCCCTATTTTCGGCACTGCTCAAATGTTTTCCCGTCACAATCACGACAGCCCTTGGAGCTCAAATTCAGAGATCGTCCTCTCCTCGCCTTTCGCTTCTAGCCTTTCTCCTTGTCTTGCATCTGACGGACCCACATCCGCTGCGCCTGCGCCTGTAATAGTATTTGGCTGGCGCAGGAAAAGGTTCTGAACAAGTTGCTAGTCTTTGCAAAGTAGCCTGGGAGCTGAACTTATCTCCCTTTGCAGCCTAACGGTCTTCGAGTCCACTATGGGAAGATGTTGACATGTTTGCTTGCCAACTGCTGATGGAAGGTTCATTAGGGGAAGTTGTAAAAAGCGCTGTAGCTCCGATTGGATTTTCTGGCGGCCGCTTTTCGAGATCCTGAGTCGTCCACTGCCGCAGGCTCTGGGCGACGCCCTGGCCCAGAACAACTCGGTCACGAGCCTCGATTTACGTGGCAACTGCATTGGCAACGTGGGCGCCAAGGCCCGAGCAACCCCAAATTCCAATGTCAGTTGGGGGCACAACCCGAATTTGACCATGGCCCTCAAGTGCTTGCCAGTCTTGGCAAAGCCTCCTGGCTGCTGGCCTTGTCTCCCTTTGCATCAGAGCGGTGTTCGAGTCCACCACGAAACATGTTGACATGTGGAATTGCACGTTCTATGCTGAGCAGTAAAGGTGGGATGCGATTGAAACATATTCCCTTTAATGGTTCATAAAGGGAGGTTAAGTGTTTCGCTGCTCTGACTTTGCTGGCAGCTTGCGGCGGCGATTGTCTTTTCGAGATCTGGCAAGCCCCGAGCGTCCGGCCAAAGCGAGAGAGTTGCCGAACCTTTCGCAGAAAGCGCAAGAAGTCGTTCCTTCCAAACTATTCTCATGGCTGGGTAGCGGAACGCAGTGTTTCCAGTCTATCGTTGCCCCGTACGCAGCGGCTTCCAGCGATTAGAAAATGCTCTCACGAACGCTTCAGGTTCGTGATTAGGTTTTTCGAACGTGCTTTAGCGTGAGTGCTGATTGCGCCCGGTGATTGTTGTTGCAAATGAAAGCCTTCTCGCGGCGCCTTCAATCGTATTTGCTTGCGCGCAACAAGGTCAAGACCAAAGCCAATGCCTGTAGCTGCAGTCTTTGCAAAGTAGCCTGGGAGCTGAACTTATCTCCATTTGCATCCGAACCGCCTTCGAGTCCACTATGGGAAGATGTTGACATGTTTGCTTGCCAACTGTTGATGGAAGGTTCATTAGGGGAAGTCGTAAAGAGCGCTTGGTAGCTCCGATTGGATTTTCTGGCGGCCGCTTTTCGAGATCCTGAGTCGTCCACTGCCGCAGGCTCTGGGCGACGCCCTGGCCCAGAACAACTCGGTCACGAGCCTCGATTTGGCAGTGAATGAGCTTGGCGACGAGGGCGCCAAGGCCCGGCTAGGTTCGGCAAGAAAGGGAGGGCAAGGGGAAGGCGAGGAAGGTGAGGATGCAAGAGCCGGGCCATGAGTTGCCGGAGCTTTTGCAGGACGTGCAAACTTGGGAATCCTGCTCCTCAAAACTTGGCTTCGGCCAGGGGCCTTCAATAGTATGTGTTTGGGCACAACAAGGTCAAAGCCAACCTGCTTGTAGCTGCTGGTCATGTAGAGGCTAACTCTCTATGGAGGCTGTGAAGGCCAGTTGTTTGCTACAGATGCTTCATGGCGGGATCGCGGATTGAGCGTTTTAAATGCAGGGGTTTGACCCTTTTCTATCCAACCCTGGAAATATGCTTCATGTTGTTTGCTTGCTTGCGTTTGCCTCAGCTTACTCTATTCAATGGGACTGCAATGCGATGGCCAAACTACACACAAAGGGTGGGAATCTATTTAAGTCTTCGAAAGTCAAGCTCTTTTGTTGGACATCCTTGCGTTTCGCAAACAGGCTCAAAGCTGTTTGCACCCTTTACGTTTACAGGTGCTTGGAGTAGAGGGCGCATAGTGGAGACGGCTTTGTGTCATGATCTTGCGCAGCTTTTGTTTGCTTGGATATTTGTAGGCAGCGCGTGGCCCCGGTGCCTTGACACCCGCCGAAAGGCTCGAACTGTGTGGCGACTGCCGGGCCCAGGCGCTGGCCGCGGCCCTGGAGATCAACTCCGCCGTGACCGAGATCGATTTGAGGAACAACAGGATCCGTGACGAGGGGGCGAAGGCCCGGGGCCGGCCGGAAGGTCGGGGGCCTCGGTTTCCAGAAGCACTCCGCAGGGCGCAGGCCCTGGCGCGCAGGAACCCCTTGCCCTGTAAAAGGACTCCGCAAAGATGGAAACTTGGTGCCTCTTGCTGCATGGCTCGGTGTTTTTCATCTTTTCATCCTGGAGGACATTGTTAGCACGGCGGTTCCTGCAACGTTTCCAAGCCAGAGGTTCCATGCTGCTGGACAGCGCCAGGGCATCCAACACCTGCCTTCAGCCACAAACCAAGCAAATGATCTCTTTTCTGGGGGAAGGCCCGGACCGTCTGGCAGCTTTGTCAAAGGCCCGGCGGGCCGGCCCCGGCAGGCCTTGGAGGAGGCGCTCAAGAAGAATTCCACTGTCACGAGCCTCGATTTGAGTCACAATAACCTCAGCAAAGAGCGGGAGCAGGCCGGGGGTGACTCGTTTGCACGAGCGCCGCAGAAAAGAGCATGCTATTTTTGGCGGTGTTGTCAGAACCAGGTCAAGCGCCATGCCATGCCTTTTGATGAGTATTTCAGGAGGAATGCCAGCTACTTGAGCTTCAAAAGGTTCTTGCTGTCATACCCCGTCACGCGTGGCCGCAATTTATGCTATCACCCTCTGGCTTTGAAGATCATCTTATTTTTTCCTTGCAGCGCTTTTTGCGCTTGTCAGAAGAGCTTGCACAGTGGCCAGTTCTCCCCATCACAGCAGCAGCATCTTCTTCTTCTTCTTCTTCTTCTTCTTCTTCTTGGTGTCTTGGAAGAAACGTCCCAACAGATCCATGCAGATGACTGGCCGCTTCAGTCTCTTTGGCGCTAGGGGACTTCGTCCATTCAAAGTTGGTAGCCGTCAGTGTCTTCATTGCGTGGCCACCATAGTTGTAGCTGCTCAGCTCACCTTCAGGTCGGGGACATCCCGCAAGATCCTCCATGCCCACCGGAGCCTCCGTGGTCCGACTGCTCTAGCAGAACGTCCACCGCTTGCGATCCTTCATCAATCAAGTTTGCTTCGCGCGCATTTTCCTGCGAAGCGAAAGAGCAGTGTGTAGCTGTCCGCTTCCTCCTCCTCCTCCTCCTCCTCCGCCTCCTCCTCCTCCTCCTGCTCCTCCTCCTCCTTCAGGTTTTCCTTTGCTGCGAAGCCAACTTCTTGGTGAACAGCGTCGACCCACTGTTTGAGCACCTTGTTGTTGCGTTGGCGCCATGTGCAGCTCTTGCTGCGCCAGATGCAAGGTCTTTGATTTCAAAGGAGCCTTGCCGACTAAAAGGAAACACGCGTGCGCTCACCATTGGAATACTTGAGCTCAGTTGCTCAAAGGACTTAACGCTTGACTGTTTTCTTTTGGGACGAGCAAGGGACCAAATGTTGGAAACCAAAAGGTTGCATTTGCAGCCTTCACGCGCCTATGTCTTGGCCCTCCTTGAGCTACTCCTTCGTTAGCCTGTTCCATCACGAGCCGAGCTGATCCACTTCTTCCGAATGCCACACACAACAGCCAATGCCTGCCTCTCCACCATTTCCCTCCAAAAAAGCTGACCCAATCAAGTCTGAGCAGATTGATAGGCGCAAAGCGTTTGAGGCGTCAAGCAGGCAAGAAGTTCTGACAGGTGACCAACTCACAATTGTTCTGGTGAACTGTTTTTGGGCAAAACATGGCCGCAAGGTTATGATTGCTGTCTACTGGTGACAAAAGTGTGCCTCAACAGAAGTAGCTGGCGTGCTGCAGCGTTTTTGTTTTGTTTTTTACATGTATTGATGCTGTTGCCAAAGTTCTCTTGCCTGTCTAGTTTAACTTTTCCCGATCCATGCCTGACATGTTTGCAGCCAAGTGGGATGTCAAAGGGTGTGCGCAGAACGAGTTTGATGTGCGCCCCATGCAGCAAACCAAACATAAAACTGTTCAAAGCAAATGAAACCAGAGGGGCTGTGGAATAAGCTCGAGCGTGGGTGTTTGTTGTATGATTTGGCCACGAACTGCCAGGCTTGGAGAAGGAGAAGGATGCAAGAGTTGCTTGCAGGGGCCCAAGCGTGGTTTCTTGCAATGTTTCCAACAAGGGACCTGTGCCTTGACGCTTCTGCTGATGCAGCGGGTGTAGTCCTCAAGGCACGCAGAATGACAGATCAGGCAGTCAAGCTGGACAAGAAGCCAAAACAATGTCAAGACGATGCGCTTGCAGAAATCTCGCCCAAGCCAGGTTTCGAGGTGTGGCCTGCTCGTTGATTGTCTGGGAAAGCACGCAGGTTTTGAGGGCTGGATCCTCTACCCTGATGTTCCACAACTGAAACTTGATATTGTCATTTGCATTCACACTTCATGCAAAGTTTCCGCAGAAATGACATGCTGCTTGCTGTGTGTGTGCGTGTGTGGTTGGCAGCCATGCGTCACTGAACTCAGATTTTGCATGGTTATGTGACGCGGGGTCTCCCCACCAACTTGTTCGAGTTGCAAGTGAGTTGGCAAAGTGTGATGCAGCCCATCGCCCCTAGGAAATGCAATTCAGGCAGTTCAAATCCGGGTGTGTACATTGCTGCCTTGCAAGGTTCTCGTACCGATGCTTCATTCCTACGTTCCAGATTAGAAAAACTATACATTACACCTTGCCCGCAAGTAGCCTCTTGAATCATCTTCCAACACTTGTCTTTTGAGACTTGTCCAAACGAGCAGCACCCCACCCTTCATCGCCAGTTGCCTCTTTTGCCTCCCTTGAAGCTTGAAAAAGCGTGTCGAGCGCGTAGTTGCATTGGCTCACCCCACACTCCCAAAGGCAGCTCCTCTCCGTCCTTGCGGCCCAAGTCTCACAACAAATAGAATATGTTGGTTGCGACTTCATATTGGGCACAACAGCGCCACCGCCCAAGACTTGAATCCTTAAAGTGGCCCTTAGTTCCTGGACTGTCAGCTTTCCGCCGCAGCCATTAAGCTCTTTGATGGGGTCAACGGTGCCACCCCACCAGAGCGATTGCAAGCAAAAGATTGAAGAAAGTAGCCATTGATTTGGCCTGCTTTGTTGACATATGAGATCTTTGGTGGGGGGATTGGCAAGTGCCAGCCCCTGGCAGGCGTTGGCCGACGCCCTGACACAGAACGCCACGGTGAAACGCGTCTATTTGGGGTGGAAGGGCCCAAGCGCCGTGACAAAAACATTCATCAAAATCGGCGAAGAGGGCGCCAAGGCCGGGCTGGGGGTTCGGCTTGGAGCTTGGAAGGCCCTCGGGGGTGAGGGCGCCAAGGCCGGACGGCCGGGCTGCCTGGGAGGGTCCTTGGCAATGAGTTGCCGTGGGATTGTGTGTGGGCCGCGCAGAGTTGGGAATTCAGATTTGATCTTGTTTGCCACAAGTCAGTCATGGGACCGTCTTGCATTTCACCCCCGCTTCTCAGAAAATGGTCGTTGCCACCTTGGAGCTCTTCGGGTGACGATGAGTCACGCAATAGGGTTTGAGGGAAACTCGAAATTTGCGGATTTGTTGGCGTACCCTTTGTGGGGCTTGCAACTTGTTTGCCATTGCCGCATGTGTTGGGGTGCGCTGGCAGCGGGTTGTGCCAGAAATGGTGGCAGCTTAATGCTTGCTGTTTCTCAAGGCTGATTGTTTGTTGTTGTTTTAGGGTCCCAGGTTTGAGTTGGCCCAGCTAAGAGCGTAGCTCAAACGGGTGCCAATCCTTTGTTCTACGAAGCTTTTAGGGCCAACATTGTAGGTTGCTGCCTGGTTGTATTTGCGCCTGCAAATACACGCAGCCATGGCCGATTCTGTTCTCTTCCAATGCGCTTCGGGCCCTTGCTCGGCCTCCGCATCTTCATGGCAAGTACCGGCCCCTGACAGGCATTGGCCGATGCCCTGACACAGAACACCATGGTGACTGATCTCAATTTGGGTTCGAATGGAATTGGCGACGTAGGCGCCAAGGCCAGGCCGGGGTTCTGGGTCGGTTTTCGGGGGCCCGCTTCAGACAACGGGTGCAAGGAAGGCCGGGGGCCCAGAAAGGGTTTCAGTAAGGGCCGGGCAACACGTTGCCGCGCTTTTTGCAGGAAGCGCAAAGTTGGAGATTGAGACTTGAATTTGCTAGCGACAAGTCATTCCATCATAGGATCGTAGGCTCCTCTCCACCCTCCGCTTTTTGGAGAGTAGCTGCTGCCACCTTGGAGCAAAGTGAACAATTAGCAGGGGATCTTGTGAGGTGAACATCTCGGCCCTGCGGTCATTTTGGCTTTGGTGGGACTTGCAACGTGTTCTGGATATGTTGGGGTGCGCTGGCAGAGGGTGGTGCGCTCAAGTATGGTTGCAGCATAGATTTTATGGCTGAACCCATGTTTGTTGTTATTTCGAGTCCTAGGTTTGAGTTGGCCCAGGTAAGCGCACAGCTCCTGTGCCAATCCTTTGTTCTCCGAAGCTGGTCTTGGCCAGGGTGCACCGACGCAAAGTTGTCTTGTAGGTTCCTCCTCCACACACGCTTGAATTCAACAACGCGCAACCATGTCCACTGTACCAGCCCCAGCTCAAGACAGCTCGTGGTTTATAAAGTAAGATCGCTCGAGGCACGGTCATACCCTTCCCCGTCATTGCACTGGAAGTTATGCCCGCCTTCCAGTGTGCTGCGGGCCCTTGCTCCCGCATCTTCAAGGCACTCCACAACTCTTTCCGCTGGCGTGCGCAATTTGCGCGTAAAGCCGCAACGGCGCCCACGATGAACAGCAGGACGCCTGGCCCACTTCTTGTGCTCGGTGGCAGCCCTTTGCCCAGCGCCAAACTGCTTCGTCAAGCGCCCCCTCACGATCATTTGACAATTTGGCCGTTGTTCGCGTCCGCATGCCCAACTTTTTTCAGCTGTGAAGGCTCCAAGGGCTGGCGTTTTTGTATGTAGCGCCCACTCGTCTGTATTGGCTCTCCTTTTCCCAGATCTCATTGACCTCGTGCCAGTCATCCGTCACCTCCCCTTGACCTTGATGTTTGAGACAGCGACTGCAACAGCTGTGAGCTGGAGCTTGATTACCTCCTGCTTGATTTGCATCCGCTTCACCTCAGACTCCCCCATCTGTGGTACAGCAGCCAACAGATGCACGCTTGAGCTATATATGAGACGGGTCAAAACTACCGTCATGCAGATTTAGATGAACGCTTCATTGTTTAGCAAGTTTCATGGAAAGCAATAGGCAACTCACAGAAATAGACTGAATAGTTTGCTGAGGCAACGCGAAGCTCGTGTGCTAATCATCACTTGCCGCTGTTACTAGAGTCTGCCCAAAGTTTCTTTTTGTTTGCTTGCCTAACGGTCACATTGGCTCACCCCACACTCAAACAGCAGCTCCTGTTGCGACTTGATGTTGGGCACAACAGCGCCACCGGCTAAGACTTGAATCTTCAAAGCGGCCCTTGACCTTGCTTGAATCACTTGGCAGCCCTGGACTGTCAGCTTTCCGTTGCAGCAAAAGACTCGAGACTGTAGCCATGCATTTGGCCTGATTCTTTTCTTGACATGTGAGATTCATGGCGGAGGATTGGCAAGTACCGGCCCCTGGCAGGCGTTGGCCGACGCCCTGGCGCAGAACGCCACGGTGAAACTCGTCAACTTGAGCAGCAACCAAATTGGTGATGAGGGCGCCAAGGCCGGACGGCCGGGCTGGGGCTCGGCTCGGAGGCCTGGGAGGGTCCTTGGCAATGAGTTGCCGTGGGATTGTGTGTGGGCCGCGCAGAGTTGGGAATTCAGATTTTGATCTTGTTTGCCACAAGTCAGTCATGGGACCGTCTTGCATTTCACCCCCGCTTCTCAGAAAATGGTCGTTGCCACCTTGGAGCTCTTCGGGTGACGATGAGTCACGCAATAGGGTTTGAGGGAAACTCGAAATTTGCGGATTTGTTGGCGTACCCTTTGTGGGGCTTGCAACTTGTTTGCCATTGCCGCATGTGTTGGGGTGCGCTGGCAGCGGGTTGTGCCAGAAATGGTGGCAGCTTAATGCTTGCTGTTTCTCAAGGCTGATTGTTTGTTGTTGTTTTAGGGTCCCAGGTTTGAGTTGGCCCAGCTAAGAGCGTAGCTCAAACGGGT